CGTTAAATCGACGTAGAATTGTGTGCTGATCATGAATATGTACACGTTATGGGGTCTCCCAAGAAAATTAGGGATGTTACAAACGGAATGACGAAGTTAATATACCCTCCTTTTCAAGGTAGAGGATATAAAAAACCCATAATCAAAACAAAAAACATATCTTTCAACATTTTTGTAACGTTCCGTTAAATTTCCTTGGAATCCGTGCATTTCAGGTATACGGGTGAGATAAGAAACTACAAAAAAGTCAAACGCTGCCCGAATGTGATCTGCGGTCTTTTGGCCCATTTCCGGCGAAGCGCTTGCTTGAGGTGATCGACATTTTGGTATTTTTTTTTGCCAACATTGCTTTCAAAAATACTCCAGACACAATGGTCCAATGGATTGGTATCAAGAGATTTTGGTGGCTATTGTGCGCTGGAAATGAAGCGAGGAACCTAATTTTCTAACCATGGTGCTGAGTCCTGTTGGAATGTCCAAGGTCTGGGGTCAAAATGTTTGCGTGCCTAAGACTTTAATACACCCTCCACAATATTTTCGCGATAATATTCGGCATTTATTCTGATGCCATGGTTTCGTCGATTAATACGAGCGGAGAGCTACCATCGGCTGTTATGGCGGCCCACACCATCACCATAGCCGGACCTTGAGTTCTGGTGGCCAACCGAAGGTACACATGTTCAGCTGACCTCTTTGGCAAGTAAACACGATCATTTTGTTTATTTACAAACTGCTGGACAAGGTATGTTTTCTCATCGGAGAAAACCAAATTCGGCAGTTCACCACTTTCGGCCAAGCTGAGCAACTCTTTAGAACTTTTGAGTCTATTTTCCTTCTGCTGCGTTGCGATGTAATTTCTTGCACTTTTGAAATTTTAATGGCTTTACCCAGATCTCATTTTTCAATATTTGCCAGCATTTTTCGGCCACTTCGACGCGGGTTTCGATCAAGTCGCTTCTTTACTTTTCGAACCATTTCTGCTGATGGCTGATGTTTTCTTCCGTCCACTTCCTTGACGTCGGGCCACGCTAACAGTATCATCGTGACGAGGGATGGCACGAGACACAAAAGATTCCTTCATATCTAAATGCTGGAGTGCTCTAACGATAACCACTTGTGGTTTTCCAGCAAATGTAAAAAATACGCTGAATTCCATCACGAATAACTTTTTTCTGGAAAATTCTCACCAAAATGCTTTTGTACGCTTGTAAACATATAATGAGCTGTCACTGGAATATTTTAACAGCGGACGGACGAGTGGCTTAGAAATGACAGCAGTATGAAGCTGGTTGCAGTTTTTTCATCTCACCCTCTACAAAGTTTCGCCACCGGAGCTGGAACCCATTATCAACTACAATTGCCCATTTTTAGAAAAATTCGTGGGAAAATGTGGTGAAAATCATCAAGATACCAAATATCAGGAGGTACCGTTATATGGGGGCTATACAAAAATATGGACCTATGTATACATTGATTTGCCACCCGAGCTAGAACCAATTATGACCTACAAATAACAATTTTCGGACAAATTCGTGAAAAATGTGGCAAAAATCATCAAAATACCTAATATCGGGAGGGTACCGTTATATGGCGGCTGTACCAAACGTAGACATGCAAGTTTCGCCACCGAAGCTAGAACCGATTATGACCTACAAATACCAATTGTATACAAATCCTTGGAAAAATGTTGCAAAAATCGTCAAAACACCTAAAACACCAATATTTCGCCACCAGGAGCTAGAACCCTTTACTAAAAACTAATTTACTAATTTTTAGACAGATTTGTGGGAAACATGTTACGAAAATCATCAAGACACTGAATGTCGCGACGTACCCCTATATGACAGCTATACATTTACATTTATACATTCTATGTAAAATTTGAATAGATGGGAACCAACCTTTCCGTACGTCCCCCACAAATCTGTCCCAACATAGATGGTAACTTTCTAATTTGTTACAAAAGATCGCTTGGTCTACTGATTCTGAAAGTTTGTTTATTCTCAGATCCTTTAAAAGAAAATCAACAGATTTTCCACCAGAATATCGGTTTTTCTTTGTCAGAGAAACTAATGGTCAAACGATGACCCTAATGCTGATCTGAAATTTGCCTTTTAACTACTTCTAATTTTGGATAATTGTTTTGGTAGCTTCAATGTTGCCCAAGTTTCCTACATATAGCAAATACGCCTCAGAAACTGGATCTTTAATAGATCTTGTTTTTAATAAATTATTCTAGAATTATTTTTAGTACATAAAATACAGTAATGTTTGCGCTTAAAAATTAAACAAGTTAAAAGCAGTAAGTCCTGCCGGGCCGAACTTTGAATACCCTCCACCATTTGGAACGAATTTGAAAATTTTCAAAAAATAAATCCCCTAAAAAATTCCGTTAAAATTTTAAAAATTCCGAATATAGCCGTTTACTGGGTTTATACGACGTGGACCTACATAGGCATTGTTTGTCATAAGCCATTACCATATGCAAATTCGAAACTTGAAATAAACGGTGAATAATGTAGCTAAAATCATCAAAATATCGTATATAGGGAGGTACCGTTATATCGGAGCTGTGCAAAGACCTGGACCAGCATAGACAATTTTCTGTCACAGGCTGTAGCATCCATTATGAAGTTCAAATACGACATCTCAAACAATTTCGGTGGGTATTGTAACTAAAATCGTCAAAATACCGAATATAGGGGTTGTACTTATTTATGGGGCCTATACGAAGACCTTAACCTGCATAGACAATTTTCTGTCATAGACTGTAGTTCCCATTACGAACTCTAAATACATAATTTGAAACTACTACGGCGAATAATGATGCTAAAATCATCAAAATACCGAATATTGGGAGGTACCTTTATATGGGGGCTATAGGAAGACGTGGACCCTTCACAGAACATTTTCTGTCTTAGGCTGTAGTACCCAGTTCGAACTTCAAATGCCCAATTTGAAACAATTCCGGTGAATAATTCTTCGAAATACCGAATATCGGGAGGTATCGTTATATGGGGGCTATAAGGAGACGTGGATCTGCACAGACAACTGGATCTTTGATCTGGATCTTGATCTGCATAGACAATTTTCTGTCATAGACTGTAGTTCCCATACGAACTCTAAATATCATAATTGGAACTACTACGGCGAATAATGATGCTAAAATCATCAAAATACCGAATATTGGGAGGTACCTTTATATGGGGGCTATAGGAAGACGTGGACCTTCACAGAAAATTTTCTGTCTTAGGCTGTAGTACCCAGTTCGAACTTCAAATGCCAAATTTGAAACAATTCCGGTGAATAATTTCTTCGAAATACCGAATATCGGGAGGTATCGTTATATGGGGGCTATAAGGAGACGTGGACCTGCACAGACAATTTTCTGTCTTAGCTGTAGTATCTATTTCGAACTTCAAATACCAACGTTTAAACGATTCCGGTGAATAATGTCACTAAAATCATTACAATACATATTATCGGGAGGTACCGTTATATGAGGGCTACATTAAAACGTGGACCTACATGGCCCATTTACGAACTTAACCTGCCTACTGGCAAAATAAACATGCGTGCAAATTTTAGCCTTCTATCTTAATTCGTCCAAAGGATAGTGGGATTAGAACAGACGGACACACAGACAGACAGATGGACACACAGACGGACAGACGGACATAGCTAAATCGACTTAGAATTTTACGCTGATCAAGAAATATATACTTTGTTGGGTCTGACAGGAGTATTTCGAGGAGTTACAAACGGAATGACAAAGTTAATATACCCTCCATAGTATGGTGGAGGGTATAAAAAAAATCTAATAGATGAAAATTAAAAACAACACAGCAAACCCCAACTTGACAGGATACATTTCACAACTTGAGCAACCGCAGCAGCAGCTGGCAGGCAGATGCCATCAGTCTGAGCGCAACATCTGTGACCATGAACTAAAAAAATGATGCCAAATTAGCTGATTGTCTAAATGAAAGCAACTTAATTATACGACGAATAAAATTATTGTTTTAACATCCCGACGCATGACAAACACACCCCAAAATCTGCATATGTAAATGAAAAACGGAAAAGATTAATGCACACATGTGGGGACAACAAAAAGCAAGTGACACACAACAAGAGTAAGTGGCTGGAAAGTACTTTTGGACACGAAGAATACTACAGATACTCCGGTCATGTGGTTGCCAATTTTTGTATTTTATAATAGTAATAGTACAGAACACTCGGTTAACTTTCAAATAGGTTAATGCAACATTAAGCCACAAAAATGTACTGCTGCTGCTGCTGTGTTCAAGAGACAAAAAGTTTCACTTGCAGGCATCTGTCATGTCCTTTTTTTGTCTAAATGGTTGTTTGTGTGTTTGTCTATACCAAGTGTGTGCATGTGTGTGTACAAAGTATCCTCTGCTGATTGTGTGCAAATAAAAAAAAACACACACACACACACGTTTAAATACACCATACGGTACATAACAAATACTGCATTAGATTGTAGACATTATGCCCGCAGATTGTGCCACTAGGCGTGTGCACAAAAATAACACTAAACTTTATGGTTTACATGAACTAACAAAAACATAGAAAAGCAAAAACAAAAACAAATTTAAACGAGAGAATGGATCATGAACTCGGCAGGAAAAAAAACATAATAGAGTGACATGGCACTCACACATACACAATAAGGAAAATTTTTAGTTTTTTAGCTGTTGGATGTGATTCTATTAACAAAAAAAAAAAAAAAAAAAAAACTAGTAAAAAAAGAGGAAAAACTACATCAGCATTTTGGATATTAGAATTTTACAAATAAAATATCTTTGCACACAAATACCAGCATGCAAATGTCAATATCAACAGTGTGCGAATGCAACACCAGCAGCAAAAACTCAAGTAAACACTTGAGCGACACTTAATAATATTGGTGGCGTCAGGTTGTTCGAATAGTGTGGCTAAATAGATATGAATGCCGCAAGAA